TGGCAGGTCAGGCCACAGCCTCTCCTCGCTGCGGGAGGCATGGGCACCGGTTTCGGTACCCTGGGAACTCCCTGCAGCCTGTAGCAGTCCCGGAGAAAGGCCTCCTCTGCCATCGAGGTATTCGCTCTCTGTGCTTTCTAGCTTTTCCTTAGCTTATTTCCACCATTGAAGGGAAACTTCCTTCCCCCCTCTCCACAACCCCTAGCCCCCTTTTCAAGGAAAAAAAAAAAAAATCTCTAGGCAAGCCCACCTCTGCTGCTTGCTGGAGAAAGGGGAGGAACTGCTTCTGTTGTGTGCACATTAGATCTGGCTCACTTTTCCCACCTCCGTCCTCCTTCGTGCCTCAGACCTGTCCGTCTGGTACAGGCGTAGGGAACTGTGATTCACAGGGGTCTTTACATGTAATCGTGGGCCGGCTCGGTGGGGGTGGGGAGACAGAAGGAGGAGAGCCGGGAAGTGAGCTATTTTCAGTTTGTCAAAAATCCAAATGGAAATTATAGATGAACGCAATACTCTTGTGTGCAACTAGGGAAATCCGACTTGAGCCGGCTTAGGGGGGAGAGAAATGGAATTATTGGCTCATGAAATCAATCCACAGGAAGAACTCGGGTATGCTGAGCCTTGGGGACAGCTGGAACGGGGGCCTCAAATGTCACCAGGACATTCTCTCATTCTCTAGCTCTATTACCTGTGTTGTCCTCTGAGTGTGGGCTTCATTCTCGAGACTAGTGGTTCTCTGCCAGGGATGGAGAGGGATTTTACCCCGCAGGGGGCACTTGGAGATGTCTGGGGGGAGGGAGGCATCCAGTGGGTGGAGGCCGCAGATGCTGCTAAACATACTACGATGCACGGAACAGCCCCCAAAACAAAAAGTTATCTGACCCCAAATGTCCATAACAGTTGAGAAACCTGCTCCAAGATCCCAGGGGGACTGAGACTTGCTCATTCTGATCCAAATGTCAAAAATCAATGAAAAAAAAAAGAGAAACCTTATGATTTCACCTTTACGTGGAATCTAAAAAACAAAACAAATGAACAAACCAAACAAAACGTGAACAGACTCACAGGTACAGGAAACAAGCTGTTGGCTACCAGAGTGGGGACCGGGTAGGGGGATGGGCAAAATAGGCGAGGGGGATTAAGCAGTACAAACTTCCAGTTACAAAGTAAGTGAGTCATGGGGATGTCATGTGCGGCACTGGGAATATAGTCAATAATACCGTAATAGCTTTGTATAGTAGCAGGTGGTAACTACACTTGTCGTGGGGATGATTTTGTAATGGATGAAAATATCAAATCACTATGATGTGTAACTAAAACTAATAGGCTATTTTATGTCAACTATATTTAAATAATAATTAATAATAATGATAATAATAATAACAAATCCCAGGGAAGTTCTCTGACGGACTCAGCTTGGTCTGGGGGTTCACCCTTAGACTAGTCCAAAAGTCCAGAAAGGTAAGAGTTTAGATCATGAATACCCTATTTATTTATGTTTTATTTTTATTTATTTTTTTAATGTTTATTTATTTCGAGAGAGAGAGAGTGTGTGTGTGTGAGCGGGGGAGGTGCAGAGAGAGAGACACACAGAATCTGAAGCAGGCTCCAGGCTCCGACCCGTCAGCACAGAGCCCAAAGCGGGGCTCGAACTCATAGACCGGAAGATCATGACCTGAGCCAAAGCTGGATGCTTAACCGACTGAGCCACCCAGGTGCCCCATGAATACCCTTTTTAGAACCTCAACGTTGACATTGGGAAGAAGCATTCTCAGAAGAAAAAATGTGAAAAGCAGGTGAAGAAAATATAATACAAAGTTAAACAAAGGTTACTATTGAGTAAGTTCAGTTTATTTGAGAGACAGCATCTTTTAAAACGAGATAGGAGGGGCGCCTGGGTGGCGCAGTCGGTTAAGCGTCCGACTTCAGCCAGGTCACGATCTCGCGGTCCAGGAGTTCGAGCCCCGCGTCGGGCTCTGGGCTGATGGCTCAGAGCCTGGAGCCTGTTTCTGATTCTGTGTCTCCCTCTCTCTGCCCCTCCCCCGTTCATGCTCTGTCTCTCTCTGTACCAAAAAAATAAATAAACGTTAAAAAAAAAATTTTATAAAAAAAAATAATAAAAATAAAACGAGATAGGAGAGAGTAAGTGAAGAGAAGTGATCTTCGGTGGAGTAAAGTTTGGGAACCGTATTACTATTACCCTCCACTAAAGTACTGCACCGGCCAGACCCTTTCCCCCATTCCTCCCATGAAGAGAAGTCCTGGGGGACCCGTTCCCTGCTCAAATCTATGGGTGGTAAGTGGCTATTCAGATAAACTAATTATTGCTAATGTTTAGCTAGCTAATGAGTTATTCCTTCCAGATGACATAATGCCTAACCCCATTACAACGTGCATATCCTTTAAAAGGTCCTTAAAGGAGAAAATAATGGTAGAAATTTCAGGCAAATGGGAGCTTGGTGGGAAGATATTTTTGTTTCGGAGGCCTTAGATTTTGGGTTGTTCCTTTAGGTGGCAGGTGACTCTGTACCTGAATAAGATATGCTCAAGGTCAGCAGTTTCTGAAGGATATTCTACAGAACACTGAGTCCTTGGGGGTGGTACTAAGTGTTGCTGAGAATGAAGATTTCATGAAGGAGGAGGAGAAGGGCGGGGAAGGAAAAAAGAGAAGAAAGACTTCATAATCTGATAAATTGGGAAATACTGGGCTTAGATAAAAATTAGTGGACTTCTTTATTATAGGACTCAGAGCTTTTTTTTTTTTTTTTTTTTTAATGCTTATTTATTTTTGAGACAGAGAGAGACAGAGCATGAACGGGGGAGGGTCAGAGAGAGAGGGAGGCACAGAATCCGAAGCAGGCTCCAGGCTCTGAGCTGTCAGCACAGAGCCTGACGCGGGCCTCGAACTCACGGACAGTGAGATCATGACCTGAGCCAAAGTCGGAAGCTCAACCGACTGAGCCACCCAGGTGCCCCAAGGACTCAGAGCTTTTAACAGAACGGGTACTGTGACCCTCAAGAAGGGAACTCAAGTGAGCAAACTTTTTGGGCCAAGGAACTCTGTTTGCTGAGGCACATTGTACATAGGGTGTGATTACCCTGTCTTATGCCCACTGTCCTTGCACGATTGTGAAAGGCATTCCCTTTCACGCCCCAAAGTGTACCAGTTTGGAGGGCAGATGATATGATTGCCCTATTCTAACAGGAACACACTTTGGGAAATGCTTTTTTTTATTGTCATCTTTATTTGTGGGGAGCAGCTTTCGAATACCACCTTAAATCGGTCTTAGGAAGTCTCCTCTGGGGGCATATTTTCCCAACTGAGGCATGGAGCTTAGAGTTGATTCACAGTGATTTCCAGATGAGCCCAGGATGAGAAAGACTCAGAGCAATGGTTTCCCATCATCCCCCAGAACACTGATAACTTGATCCCTTTCCCCCCATCAGTGTTAGCATTCGAATGCCAGGAAATAAAGCATGGACTGTTTAAAATTGGACAGATTGTAAGGTCATTGCATGGGGAAGGAATTGTTTGGTTGTAAGAGACGGAAACTCAATTTGAGCAGGCAAGAAAAAAGAAAAAAAGTAATTTCAGGAGGAAACTTTTCTAAGTAGAGGACAAATTTCAGCAACCAGAGCACTGTTGGGTACCTTGGGGGCTGGACCCTGTTTCTTGATGTTTCCAGGATTCTCTCATCAATCACAGCTTGTTTCTGCCTTAGCTTCAACACGCCCCACCACAGACCATGCTGCCTCTAGTTGCTGGTGACAGAAGTCAAATTCATGACCTTCAAGTATTCACATAATAAATACTAGACAAAACAAAGACGATTGTTTTAAAATTAGAGCCACGAGCAAAAATGTTAAGCAGCACAGAGTGGTTTCAACGGAGGAGAAGCCCAGAACGGTGGGGGCTTTATTTTAAAGCCAAAGAGAGGGACAGAAAACAATTCCTGTAAAAAAAATCGCCCTTGAAAGTCCTTAAATCACCTATCAAGTACAGTCTATGTGGTTTTATGTCCTTAACGCTCGATATATACAAATGACAGAGGCCTGCAATAATGTGCAGGAAATAATGAATAACGTACAGGCAAAATACAAAATTCCAGATTTCTTACCTAAAAGGCACAAAAGAAATAGAAGAATAAAGAAGAAAATGCAGAACGACTACCGATGGTTTCTTCAGTTGAACACCGGCTAAAGTATGCGGGTTAGAATTAAGGGGCATTTTGTACCAAAAAAGCATCTAGCTTTAAATACTAGCGTGATATTTAGGGCAGAGACCATGAGCCGCCTCCAGGGAGAAGAGCCGTGTTGTGTCGAACCTCCCGCTCATGCTAGCTGGCGAGTGGTTCCCTGAGTGGGAGGTGGAGAAAACTCAGTTGCCCTATTCTGTGTTTGTTTACTTCTCCTTTCTGTTTTCTCCCCCCCCCCTTCTTCTCCTCCTCATCTCGCCTCAGCCTTCTCTCCCTCTCTGTCTCTTCCACTGCCAGCCTTCCCTTTAGACCAATATGGCAAATGGTCGTGGAGAACAGGAAATAGGGTTACACAGGTTTCAACCCCGGGTGGCTCAGTCAGTTAAGCGTCTGACCTCTGCTCTCCGCTCAGCTCTTGATGTCAGGGTCATCAGTTCAAGTCCTGGGTGCAGCCCCTGGCTGGGTGTGAATCCTACTTAAAATGAATAAATGAAATGGATCTCACTACCGAGAGGACCTTGGATGTGACCTTGGAAAGCTCCTTAATCTTTCTGTGCCTCGGACCTAAAACAAGGGCAATGATAGAACACACCCGGTAGTTTTCTTGTGATGATTACATGAGATAATGTGTACAAAGCCACTTAGACAGTGACAGACACCCATAAGCATTACCGTTAAGTCTCTTACACTATTGTTTATTTGTATAATAACACCAACAGGCTCTCTGCTCTCTGAGGAGTTTTCCTGATTTTCACTTTGTTCATTTCCTCCCCTTCCCCAATTTTTACTTTGTTGCTTTGTTAGTTTCAGTTTTTTAATCACTCTCTGGCTGGCTCCTACCTCTTGGAGAGAAAGCCTCTCTCCTTCAGAAGCCACCCAGCGTCCCTCCCTCATCCATTCATTCAGGTGTGCGTTTCACAAGTATTTATTGAGTGACTTCTGTGTCCCAAGCATTATTCCAGGTGCTGGGGATATAGCAGAAAACAAATCAACACAAACCCCTGTTCTCAGAAGCTAATATCCCGGAGGGAGAAGGAGGCTAGGGGGGAAAAAGTTTCAAGTGCCCCTGGTCCCTGGTGTGTTTATGGCTGTCCCCCCATCTCCCGCTCCTGCTTGCTTACATCTCAATCCTGGATGCTACCTCCTTGCCATAAACACTTCGCTCTTGGGTTTATTTGTGAATACCTCAGGTTGTTCCAGAAGGGATTTCAGGCAGCTTCCTTGCCTTTGGGCCTCACTGCTTCCAAGTGGCCTTGTTTCCTCCCCTGAAATGTGCTGTGATTTTCTTCCTAGGTGCTGTTCAGCTTTTCCAAGCGGGATCCACCTCCTGCCTGGTCCTTTCAGAGTCCCTTTCTTTGGTGCAGGCACCAAATCCCAATTTAGCAACACTTGTGATTATAATTAATGTGCTGTTTACTCCCTCTTCCAGATCATTAATGAAGATGTTAAATGAGACCAGAATGAAACCGCGTCCCCGTGGCATCCCGGGAAGACACCTTCCAACAACTTGACACTCTGCCATTTGCTGTTTCATTACCCTTTGTTTACCTTGCACACACAGGCCCTCGCTTTTGAAAGAGGCAGAAAGCTTGATATTTCTATTGCTGCAGAGATGCCACTGAAGGGTGGGGACGTGAAAACCTGGCATATTGTAAATACGTCCTTTTGAGTTTGAAATAAACGTGGATTACAAATTGAGCATTGTCAGTAAATACTTCTTGCTCTCCCTCCTCTCAGATGGCTTTGTTTTCCCTGGACTTTTCTGCAGCTGTTCTGTCTTTTGGAGCAGGGAGAAGGCTAGATGTTTGCTCTTTGCAAAGATGTTGCTTGTATCAGCTTAACTATGAACTGTGAAGTTACTTTGTTACACGTACAGGCTGTGTTCATGGGCTGCATTAAAGCCCTGTGTTTTTGGCCATGTAACCTTGCAGTGCCCTGCTGCACTGACCCTAGCCCAGCCATGTGACTTTCTCTGGCAGGCAGAATTTTGGCAGACATGATGCAGGCATAAGCTTGGGGGAAAAAATGTCTCTGCTTGCATTTTTGCACCCTCCACAGTCGCCATAAAAACATGCCTGGGAGAGCCTGTTGGAAGACAGAACACACGGACAAAGGCCAGTTACCCCAAATGTCCAGTCAACACAACTGGATGACCACCAGATACGTGAATGAGCCCACCCCAGATGAGCAGAGCCTCCTCGCCAACCAACAGATGCATGAACAATAAGTATATTGCTTATGAGGGCTTCTTGTTTGTTACACAGCGTTAGCCGTGGCCATAGATAGCTAATACAATAGCACACATCTGGAGTCTCACGGACTAGAAACTCATTGATCTCCTAATGGTTTTGCACATAGTGCATCTCTGACACGATCTTTTACAAGAAAGGAGAAAGAAACGTTTTCTAAGTAGGAATTGAGAAGTACATAATCGGTCCTAGGGTCTGCTTTCAGACTTTAAAAAGCAAAACGCGGAATATAATCCCCGTGAGTTTTCTTCTCAAGATTGTTAAAGCATTTATTGAGCACCTGCTGTGTATGGAGTGCCATAAGAATTCTGACAAGTACAGTAACCTTTATGTGGAGAAGGGGGTGTGGGAGAAAAAGGTCTCCGTGGAATGCTACAGAATCTTCAGCGAACCAAAAAATGCCCCCTTGCCCAAGGAAGATCGAAAAGAGAGAAAGGAAGTCTGTCCAAGAAGAACAAGAGGGCACTTTCTCCCAACACTTTCAACCCTAAACAATGGTTTGCTGCTTCCTTTTTCAAAGACTCGCCTCCTGAAACTGCCCCACCACTCAGCCCCCTGCTGAAAGATGCTCCTTTGACTTGGAGCAACACAATGACAGGTGACCTTAGCGGGCCGGCCAAAGCCTGTTTATACATCCCGAGTGGAGCCACATGCTTCTGGAGCGAGGAAGAAGCAGCCTCTAGTTGCTCCCTGGGGCGTTCCTCACCCAGCAGCCCTCTGTGCTCCTTCGAAGCTGACACTCAACCCTGGGACCCAGCTACTCAAAGTGCAGCCACAGACCAGCCGCATGGCCGGCACCTGGGACCCGGTTGGATGGGCAGAATCTCAGGCCTCTTCCAGAGCTACTGAGCCCCAATTGATATTTTCATAAGAATCTTGGGATCTGTGTGCGTGTTGAAGTGTGAGAAGCACTATACGAGGGGGGATTTAGAGTTTTCCTGGAGGGGTAACTAATTCATTTGGAGCCACCTCCCCTAGGTAGTGGGCTTCTGAAAGGCAGGAGTATATGGTATGGGTATTTGCATCCCCAGACCTAGCACTGTGTCTGACTCTAGGAGCTCAAGATAAACTGGTTGAACTCAAGGGAGTTGCTGTCACTGATCGGTCAGACCCACTCAAGCCCGCCCCACGACCTACCAGTCAGACCTTTTCTTTCCATGATTCCTGAGCCTCCTGGAGTGGACACCTGCTTGAACTGACCCAAATGAAACAGTTTCTACACGGACTCCAGGCAGGTCCGCACGCACACTCCAGAGATTTAGGCTTGAACGTTGTGACGTAAGGCACGGCATCGAGTGCGTTTGAACAAGCGAGTCTGGGGCCAGGGTCCTGCATATATTAGAATGTCCACCCTGAGCCTAAACTAGGGCCCTACTGAAAAATGTGTTGGGCTTTCTGCAGTGGCCACAGAAATAGACCCTCAGCCGGCAGGAAGGGAGAGAGAAGGGCGGAAGGTAAGAAAACAGAGGGTGGGAGAGGAGAAGGAAAGGAAAAATAGGCCAGGGCTTGTGGGACCTAAATTTTTCCTTCTTATTTTCTGGTGGAACTTGGAATTTTTCATCCCCCTCTCATGGTATCATCGACATTAAATATCCAATCTTCTCTGCCCCACATCAACTTGAGTAATATACTATAGCTAAGGTTGGCTGCGTCGGCTCTCTTCCCCCTTACTCAGTTCGAGTTAAGAATGCTCCCACCATACATTACTGTTGGGATTTTAAAAATGATTTACTTCGCTATACAATTCAGACCTTTGAACCACACTGGATGCTGGGCGCTTTGTGGACACAGTAGTTAGGGATAAAAGGAGAGTTTAGGGGATTGTGGAATTGTGTCTTTCTATAAATCACTAATTTTATTGTAGTAAATAGAGGGCACCTCCTGGTACGTCAACAGCCTGCCTTGAAAAATGGTATGAAGCTACCACAGTCCATCAAAAGAAAAAAGAAGACAAGCGGGGTGGAGGGAAAGAGTATTTTCTCAGCGTTAGCCAAGGCTGCGGCAAGAATGTGGCTAGTGTGGTCAGAGCTCCTTGTAAGAGAAACTTTCCACTGTTTGCTGAGCATCTTGTACGTTGGCTTCTGCCCCAGACGAGAAGCTTTATGAGGACGAAGAATGGGGCAAAGTAGCTGGGGGGGGGGGGGCCTGGAAGTTCAGTTCTGCCGTGATCTTAGAAAGACCTTGGCCAGCGGTGAGAAACTCAAGAGCACGCTCCCCATCGATGCCCTTACGTGGCCAAGGATCACACAGACAGGCACCACCTAGGGCAGGAATTGCAAACAAAACAGATGCATATGTTTGCAAACAAAGCAGATGATACCCTGCCTAGGAAGGTTCTGTGCTAAACTGAGCAGTGCGACTAGAGCTGTTCTTTCCAGTTCCCTTCTTTCTCAGCTACAGAGACAATCACAGAGCGCTTGCTCCGTTTCCCAGCACACTTGCAGCAAGGTGTGGCTAAGGCGACTCACTTCTGACCTTTGAGACGTAAGTGGAACTTCCTGGAAAGTCTCCCTTTCCAGTATAAAAGGACAAAGCCTTGCGAGGAGAGATGTTGTCCGTTGCCCCTTTACCTCCTCCATCCTCCTTTTTTTTTTTTTTTTTTCTTTTTTGGCCTGAGACATAGATACCGCGGCTGGATGTGCAGCAGCTATCTTGAGATTATGAGGCCCAAACACCACGTGCTAAAGATGGCAAGGTTTCAAGACAGAGGCGCCCAGCTTCCCGATGGCATCGTTCGGCTTGGTGCCAGCCCTGGGCTTCTGACTCCTGGATGTCATGCTGCCTGCGAAAACCGAACCCCTCAATTGTTTAAACCCTAGTGGTCACATTTGCTGTTACTCACATGGTAATATACTGCCCCCTAGCTCTATCCATTGTTGCCACGTAGAAAGGCTGGCCCAGTGTTGGCCAGATCTGACTTTCCCAGAGAAGCTGCAAGTGTGGATTGCTTTTTCCACATGAAATTTCCCAGCTGGCAGTTGAGGATTGATCCCAATAGAGACAATTCGTTGAGTTATCTGAGAACACGCTTCCAATTTGTGACCTCTGAGTTCTAGAACGTTTACTCCGGGCGATGTTTACAGGTGCGACGTTAAGCACTCTGTATCGATTATCTCATGTAATCCTCCCAACGGTGCTGAGAGTAATGCTATTATTACTTCCGTTTTATAAATGAGGAAACTGAGGCCGAGAGGCTAACTTGCCCAGTGCTATCGAGCTAGTAGGGGAAGAGTCATTAGGAAGGCTCATGCCTGACTTTGGGGCAGGCGTTGCTGATTACTATTGAGTCAATCATCTATCACCACAATAATGCTGCTGAACAAACCACCCCAGACTCAGTGGCTTACAGTCAGCCTTTATTCTCCGCCTTGGAGGTCTGTGGGTGGGACTGTGGCTTGGGAGAGCTGCGCTGGTCTCAGTGGGTGACTGGGCTTCCGGCTGTGGGTTCTGTGGGATGGGCTAGGAGTCGGATTCAGGTCAGCTCCAGGGGTGTTCACTCTGGGGCCCAAGGGAAAGGGCAACGGCCACGCACTTACGTGCTCCCCTCAGGGGACACCGGAGTTAAGAGCTAAGCCATATGGGCGAGTGCACTTAAGGCCTCAGAGTGTTGTGACTGGCAGTCCATTGACCAAGAGAGGTTTGACCAAGTCAAGCCCAACATCTATGGAGCAGGGATGTGCACTTGGCCCACGGGGGAGGGAGACTGCATCTTGCCCGACAGTCACCCAAACAATGCCAACCTTGCAGCACAGTCTCCGGACAAGCTGGCCTTCATTTTGAGGAAACAGAGCCTCCTTTCTTCCCCCATTGCCTGTTTGCAAAAGTGGCGGATGGCGCCTGGATCTGGTAAACGGGACACAAAGCGATCCAAACGCATCTAAAATCAGTTCACTTCAGCGATGTCACCGCCCTCTGACAATGTTACCCCCTGCCAGCTGTGGCCCAGGTCCAGCTTCTGGGAGGCAACTACAGGAGGCGGGGAGGAGCCGGTGGGAAGGCATCCCAGCTCCTTTGTCGGGGAGGAGCTTTCATCCCAGTTCTGAGCAGCAGAACCCGTGCCTGCCGCCTTCCACGACATCTCCCACCCTGGTTCCGGCCTTGTCTCTTTCCCCCTCATCATCGTTCCTGTTTTCTTTCCCCCTTCTCCAACGCTCTGGAACATCCAGTCATCCAGTCATTCAATTCTTCAAGCAGCAGGCACTCACTGACCACCTCTTTTGTACCACGCACTGTCTGTGAGGGGAGGACCAGAATCATACCCATTCCCGCACAGCCTACTTCTCGCGGGGGCTGACAGATAACAGACAGACACATGAAGTGAATGAGACCATTGCGGAGGGTGGGAAGTGAGGACAGGCCGGCCGGAGGGAAGGGCAGGAAGGAGAAGAAGAAGGCTCTCCACTCATAGTGTAGACCGGGTGTCTGGGGTCCCTCTCCATAGTCAGGCTT